CATACCATTGAGTTAGAACCAACTCATAGCTGACCCTCTAGTGGGTTTGCAGAGGCAATAAATCCCACAGCAAGGGACTGTCCATCTTACTCCTGCTGAGCAGCTGGTGGATTCAGACTGTGTTCCTTTGGATTGGCAGCACATTCCTTACCACTAAGCCACCAGAGCTCCCTCAACTAGGTTTATGCACCCCTAAAGAGGTTGGTCAGTCTTGTCAGCCTGGTAGGTTTAAAATGAGCTGTTCCAGAGGCAAAAAGGGGGATCTTAAAGAACCAAGGAAGAAGAGCTAGGCATGGCCAGCACCCTTGGGACTGGGATAGGCTGCGTGAGGAGCATCCCTGACACTTAGCATCCTTCGCCAGAACCAGACAGTGGTGGAGACGTGGGCCCCAGGGGGCCAGAGTGATAAAACCAAATGCCTTTAGGCAGGAGCTTTGCTGGTGAAGTGGGATGCCTGACATTTAACTCTTACAGATAAAAGCTTTGCAGCACTTATGTGAGCAATACAGAGGCCAAGAGGTCAGAGAGATTGATCCAAAAGCATGCCTGTGGGCAATGCTAAGAGGAACCTGTCCTGATCAAAGGACTGTGTCCTGAGTCATTTCTGATCAGGTTACAACTCAAGAACTGTATCTTGAATCGTTTCTCCAAAGTGTGGAGAGTAAAGGCATGTCATAGCAACCAGCCTTGGGTTATTGGTTTTTATTTACCTAAGTTTCTGAGTTAGAGAAGGCCAGATTCCCCCTGCATCCCCCACCCCCCATGTCATTTTTACACAGAGGGAACAGCTAGGCAAAGGTCCTAAGGCAGGTGTGCACCTGGCAAATTCAAGAGCAAGGCAGTCGGTTTGGACGGAGGGAGGGACCAGAGGAAGAAGCGAAGACGAGGCTTGAAGGCTGAGGGTAGGGAGAAGTAAGGACAGGACACTATGCTCACTCTAGTCCTCGCTGAATGACCCAAGAGCCTCTCAAAGGCCATTAGAAGCAGAGCGGCATGACCAACTTCACACACACTAGGTCACCTGGCTCTTTGGAGATCAGGCCGAGGTGGACAATCAGGTCATCTTAGAGCCTGCTGCCATGATCTGGGTGAAACGTGACAGAGGGAGCGTGGGAGGTAGGGAAGGCAGGGCAGATCCGGAGACATCTAGAAGGCATCGCCTGTCAAAGGCTACAGGTGTGAGAGAAGCAGCGAGGTCGCAGCAACCCCAGGTGTTGAGTGTGAGTAAGTGGAAGACAGAGAGGGCATTTACAGAAGACAGAGAGATTGGGGGAGTTTGGGGGTAAGATCAGGAGCTTGCTTTTAGATACTTCAAGGTTTTAAGGACAATAAGGATTCTAGGTGGAGGTGGGCCTGGCTAGAGATAGATCTGGCCTTGGCATTGTGATATTAAAAGACACAAGCTTGTTGTGTTTGTTTTTTTTTTAAAAAAAAGACACAAGTTAAAGCAAAAGTGGTTAGAAGGTTCCTCTTGCCCTGTTGTTGTTAGGTGCTGCTGAACTGGCTGACTCACAGCGACCCCATGAACAGAACAAAGCCCTGCCTGTTCCTGTGCCATCCTCACAATCTCTGCTGTGTTTAAGCTCTTCGTTGAAGTCCCTGTGCCAATCCATTTCCTTAGGGGTCTTCTCTCCTTTCTTGACTCTCTACTTTTCCATGTGTGATGTCTTCTTCTAGGGACTGGCCACTCCTCACTTCTATAGAGTATGCAGGCTGCACTTCTGTCAAGAAGGATTTGTTTGGTCTTTTGGCAGTGCCTAGTATATTTGATTCTTTTTCACCAACACCACAACCTTGCATTTGGTCCCGGTAAAGCCCTCAGAGCTAGCGCTAGCCTTCTAGTACTAAAGGGTTGTCAATCCCACTCCTACTCCCTGGTCTGCCCAGAGACCATCAGCCCTAGTCACAGTGTTGTTATGTACCCTGGAGTCAGAATCGACTCATAGCTGACCCTCTAGTATGTGAAGCCAAACGTTATACCAAATATTATATGAAAATCCTTGTTCAGGAATTGAAGGAATTACAGATTTATAAGTTAGGATTTCTCTTGTGGCAGATCCCAGAAAATGAGCTGTTTGCTCCCTGAAGACAAGAGACAGCAAGGGGGGGGCCCCCTACAGAGGGAGTGTTACTTCCTGAGCTAGAGTTCACCCTGAGGTATCAAGGCAATCCTTAAGGGTAAACCAAATTCTTGCCTTTGCTGACCCCTCCCTCCTTGAGTCAAGCAGAAGGTTTTCAATAGAAAGAGCTTGGCTTCATTTGCATTGAATTCTCTTTGTGATTTACTTCCTGACAATTTTCAATAAAGACACAGAGAAGCTTGGCTTGGGGTCTTCAGTCAAGAACTGCTGGCCCCCTGTTTTATGCTATCTCATTCCTGGCTGTTTGTCTCATTACTAATAATTATAAAATTATTCCATTCTTTGGAACCCTTGGTCTGCAACACTCTAGCAGTTCTTCAGAGGCAGTTAATTGCATGGGAGGAGATTGTCCATCTTTCTCCCACTGAGCAACTGGTGGATTCAAACCGCCTGGTTTCAGGTTGGCAGCGCAACTTTATACCACTAAGCCACCATTAGCTGTAGGGTGTTTTGCAACTACAATTTCAGAATGGTCTCTCCAGCACGTCCAGGCTCAGAGAAGGGCATGGGGAAAGTAAGTGGCTTGAAACTGGATCCTGAGCCTGGTTCTGGATTCATGGTCCAGATCTTCTACTTGCTTCCAGTGGGACCCAGACAGGAATTCACCTCAGCCCCACCTTCCACATCTGTTCAGGAGATGAGAGAACACCCCCACCACCACCACCCCAACTCCATTCAGCTGGGGACATGTCTCAGGTACTACGTTAGTCCTTGAAGGTGTTTGTTTGTCCACCGGCTTCTCTTCCAGGTGGTGGAAAATTCAGATATGGATGGTGGTGCACAATTGTTAACTGATGTGCACACGTAAACAACGTTGAAGTGGCAAACGTTCCATTATGCAGGTGGTTCTCAACTCAGGGCATACTAGCCTTACGATGGCCCTTTTCCTTGGAGCGTGGGGTTTGGGTGTGCTGTTAGTAACATGTTGCAGCCAGTATTTTACTACTGTGATCACTCTCAGATGTTTACTTGCAGATGTCCAAATTTATGATTCACCATTCAAAACACTGTCAGTTTTATGAAGATACTGATAAGAAAGGAAGCGTTGGTGGCTGAGTAGCAAGAAGCTGCACTGCAATCCCAAAGGCAGGTGGATCGAATCCCACCAGCTGCTCCATGGGAGAAGGATTGAGCAGTCTCCTCCCGTGCGATTAACTGCCTCTGAAAACCCACCAGAGGGCCAGCTATGGGTCGGTTCCGACTTTATGGTACACAACAAGAACTGATTAGAAAATTTAATGATGGCAAGAAGCTGCGCTACAATCCCAAAGGCACACAGTTCAAGGCCAACAGATGTTCCGTGAAAGAAGGATTAACCGCCTCTGAAAACCCACTGGAGGGTCAGCTATGGGTCGGTTCCACAACAACAACAACAAAGACAACTAAACAAAAGAAGGTAGTTGACTTATGACAGAGTCATTGGCATTGATTACCTGTGTGTATATTTATTATAATAAAAGTTTTTTAAATAATAATAACTGCACTCTGGGGAGAAGGGGTGGGCAGGGAGAAAAGTATAACAATGAATGAATGTAAATCCAAAGTCTCTGTAAACTTTGACTAAAAATAATTATAACTGCACTAACCTGTTAGGGATGAGTGAGGCTTATGTGAATAAAGCACTTTTTTTTTTGTTGTTATGTACTTTTGTGTCAGAACCAACTAATAGTGAGTTTTCAGAATATATCACATGGGAGACTGCCCATCTCATGGATTTGACCATGTGCCTTTGGGCTGCCAGCACAAGTCCTGATGACTAAGCTACCAGAGTTCCCATAAAGCACTTCAGAGCTTTGTAAAACACTAAATGCTCAGTAAATGGAGCAACTGAAATCTGATTAAGGGTTTCTTCATCCATCCCCTATGGCCCTCCTCTGCTCTCACGTCCTGGTCCCGACACTTGTCCTTTGCACTGATTCCCACGTCCAGCCTCCCTTGCAAGATCTGCCTTGGACTCTGGCTGTGCCTCTCTTGGAGGGTTTCTGGGGGCCTGCTGGGCCTTTCTGGGCCTGTGTCTGCCCAATCCCCTAAGACTCTCTGGCCCATCCTCCCCACAGCCACCAGAGGGCGCTTTCTGAATGAGGCCAGGCTTGCAGACAGCTTCAAGGACCCCACCTTTCCACCGAATAAAATTCACACTCCTGCCTGCACAGCAAGCTTCTCCTCATGCCAGCCTAATCTACACCCACTTCTCTGCCATTCACGACTTACACATCCACGCCCCTCCTTATACGCTAACCTGGGCTTGTCTCATTCAAACCACACAGACATGTGCACACTCTCACCTCTTCCGTCTCTCAGAGAATAAGTGATTCCATAGTGAGGTGAACTGAGACCTAACGGGTACATAGAGCTGTGGGCAGCAGCAATAAAGAATGTTCCCTAGCACCCAAGAACTGGTCTCTCTGTCCCCAGTAGCCTTCAGGGCACCTCAAGTCCTAGCCACAGTTCTCGGCATTGTAAGGCATGTCATGATGGGCACCATTGTGCCAGGGCCTGTGGGCCTAACAGCCAAGGAGGTCGAGCACAGAAGGCACTTGCCCAAGGCACATAACTGAGGCAGAGGTGGATTGCCCTTGTCTCTGACCTTGACCATCAGGATGAAGAGCCACTCATGCAGGTGTGGAGAGCCAGATCCAAGTCAAGGGCCAGACAAGGGATTTAGGAAACAGACTCCTATGGAGTGGAGGAAGGAGATGCTGAAAAGGTAGCTGTAGGCTGGCTCTCATCTTGGTGTTCCTGTAACCCCTGTCCCTCCTGAGACCTAAGCCAGTGTCATCCAAGGGGATCCGTCCAGGTTCTGACTGGCAGAACTTCTGGAGGCCTCTAAAGCCTCAAGGCAGCAGAGGGGACACTTACCCCATTCTGACTGTTGCAATGACGGGTGCTGATGATGGCTCCTGCCTCCTCGATCATCTTCAGGATGGTTCCCCCGTGGACATTGCCAGCAATATTGGCATCATCCGGCCGCATGATCCTAGAGCAGAGAAGTCACAGGGTGAAGTCTCAGTGGGAAGGATGCCACTTATGTACTAACAACAGACAGAAATGGTCCCCATTGGGCTCCATGATCACAGTGGAAGGAATTTTATGATTGAAAAGTTCTGAGGTAGGGAGCTCTGATGGCCAAGTGGCAAGAAGCTGTACTTAATCCCAAAGGCATGTGGTTCAAATCCTCCAGATAGGGTCTGATTCGATGGTACACAACAAAATTTTTTTTAAAAAAAAAAAGAAAAGAAAAGTTCTGAGGTAGAAAAGAGGAGATTCCTGCTTGAGTCACAGGCCTGGCCAGGCCCTAGAGAGAATTTCACTCTGGCTCAGAGGGGCTGACGGCTGAGGCCTTTGGTAAAGAAACAGGCAGTGAGGCAGCAGCCCGTGTGCCAAGGTTCTCATCACGTTGTCCACTTCCCGCCCCTACCTGGCACAAGCCAGGCTCACCAGCACCAACTGAGCTGACAGGCACAAGGACGAAGCCTGTGGAACTGTGGGCGTAAATAAGTCCATTCCTGGAGCCCCTTTTCATCAATGGTTCCAGAAGGCTGGATCCATGTAGCTACAGCTGTTCTGCAAACTGGGAATAGTGACAACCCCTGGACCTCTATGCAGTCAGCAGGTGACAGCTGGCTTGTCACCAGCTCTACCTCCCTCCCCAGTGAGGTCCCCAGCTTCTCTGGGGGCACCCTGAGACAGTGCCAATCTCCTGGGACTTGCCCTTGGGAGGGGGAAGGGAGTGCCCCTTTGCCAGGGGCTGCAGGCAGTGGGAGCTCAATGAGAGCTTTGGAATTCTAACCAGCCAGCATGGCACGCCCACGTGGGCACCACAAAGAGCCTGACACACTACCAGACAACCATCTGGCTAATTAAATCCACCCTCGCCGGTCCAAGAGGCATGTGACTTATACCATGGGCATGTCCAGAGATTCAACATGCCAGCACCTGCCTACAGCCTAGTGCAGCCTACTATGGCACCCACTGGCCAGTGTGGGGACTGTTATCTACCTGCCTGCCTCCTCTAGGTCCCCCACTTTCCACCGCCCTTCAGACTGGGTACCTCCTAACCTCTCCTTTTAAGAGCTCAGAGGTTAAGTAAGTCAGGCTCTGAGATTATATCCTTCTGGCTCTTACTAAGTGACCTGGGCAAGTTGCTAAAATGAGACTACAGAATGGGTATAATAGTGACAGCACTGCAGGGAACTGTGGAAAGGTCTGAACAACATGAAACAAATTGAAAAAATGGAACTTGTCCATGATTTCATTCTACCAGCACGAACTACCAATGTCCACAGAAGCTGAAGTCAAGAAATCATACAACAAGGGACTATCTCCTACTGTACCAGTTAGATCTGATTTGATGGTGTGTGTACACACACACACACACACACACACACACACACACACACACACTAAAAAAAAAATCACACAACAAACTTTCTTGGACAAATATGCTGTCAAAGACTTCTTTTTTTACCACCACCACCACCCAGACTTCTTTTAAAGCAAAGCTGTTACTTAGTCAGATGACAAGGTACACCTGAGGTGAAGTCCCCTTTTCAATCGCCTCATGCTGTTGCTGTTATTTGCCATGGAGTCAGAACTGACCCACAGCTGACCCTCCAGCAGGTTTCAAAGGCAGTAAATCACACGGGAGGAGACTGTCCTGCACTTGTAGTTGAACTTCTCAGCTTGGGGACTGCGGCACAGGTTCTTACCACTAAGCCACCAGAGCTCCCTTTAATAGCCTCATGTTGTTGTTGTTGTTGTTGTTGTTGGGTGCCATCGTGTTGAGTGTGACTCATAGAGACCCTATGAACAACAAAACTGAACCCTGTCCTATCTTGTGCCAACTTCGCGATCTGATACCCTCAGGCCCACTGCCAGAGGCACCGTGTCAATCTACCTGACTGGAGAGTCTTCCTCTCATGTGCCATCCTCCCACCTCTCCAAGCATGTGTCCTACTCCAAGGAACAGCTTTTGCTAGCAACATGCCCAAAGTATGTGAAATGAAGCCTCTCCATCCTTCCCTCCAAGGAGCACTCTTGGCTGCACCTTCTCCAAGACCACAGATCAAAGGCATCAAAGGAAGACATAAAATGAGCTGATGCATTTGAACTGTAATAACTGGCAATGAATACTGAATATAACCCAGGCTGCCAGAAGAATGAACGAAACTATTGTACAAGAAATACCACCAGATAGTTCTTCAGAGGTGAGGGTGGCAAGGCTTCACCTCACTTACTCTGAGTAGATCAGTGATACTCAAGAGAGGAAAATCGTTATAAAAAGACATCATGTTTTGTGGCCTTGTTTTCTGCTTTCCCTCAGGCTCGCCAGATCTCACCAGTTCCAGGTCTACAGTCTTCCTGAAGTTAACACCCCGCCTTCAATGAAGCTCCAGAGTTCTGATGGAGAGATTTTTAAAGGTGATGGGGAAATTGTCAAATAATCTGTGACCATCAAGACCATGTTGGAAAACTTGGGAATGGACGACGGAGATGATGATCCAGTTCCTCATCTTCCAAATGTTAACGCAGCAATATTAAAAAAGGCCATCATCTGGTGGTGCCCTCAGCACAGAGCTGACCCTCCTCCCCCTGAGGATGATGAGAACAAAGAAGAGACCAGACGACATCCCTGTTTGGGATCAAGAATCTCTGAAGGTTGACAGCGAACACTTTTGTCACTTATCCTGGCTGCAAACTACTCAGACATCAAAGGTTTGCTTGATGTTACATACAAGAAGACTGTTGCCAATATGCTCAAGGGGGAAATTCCTGAGGAGATTTCCAAGACTTTCAATATAAAAGATTACTTTTTATTTTATAGTTTTTTAAATTATTATTATGTGTGTGTGTGTGTGTGTGTGTGTGTGTGTGTGTGTGTACTGTCAGATCAGATCTGACTGGTACAGGAAGAGATTGTTCCTCCTTCTCCAGCAGAGCATCTGGTGATTTGAACCGTGCACCTCTGGGATTGCAGTACACCTTCTTGCCTCTAGGCCACCAGAGCTCACCATAAAAGATTACTTTTACTGAACAGAAAGAAGTCAAGGGACAAGAAAAAATGAAGCCCAGTTACAAGAGAAAATGAAACCCAGGTACTCAAAGAAAACCAGTGGTATGAAGAGAAGTGAAATATGCCTGACACTGTAGGGATTATTCCAAATTCTAGTTGCATTGTTCTGTTTATAACTTTAATATTAGACAAACAGTATAAAAACGCAACAGCAAATCAATTGTATTAGCAGAATATTGTCCTTATTGCATGTGTAGTTTGAGTACAGATTTCAAAACCTGTAACTCAGTTTGTTCTAGTTTGATCAAACTTGTTCCCCCTTTGCTTTGAAAATAAAAATGAACTGTGAGTTCTCTATAGCAAGTGGAATTTTGGATTTTCTCTCTTATTATAAAGCAATTTCTGCCTAGTTTAGTTTGGCAATCTTTTGGAAGTTGGCATTGTAAATAAAACAACTTAAAAGTTTGCTGAAATAGAATTAGCAAGGTGTTATCTTTATTCATATCTGAAGCACTTGCTGTAGACAGAAGGTCAAGGACTGTATCTTCACTACTGATTGAAGCACAACATCAAGAAGACGAAGATTCTCACCACTGGGTTAATTGGCAGCACCATGATGGATGGAGAAGAGATTGAGATTGTTAACAGTTACAACTTGCTCAGCTCCACAATGAATACTCTTGACACCAGCCGTCAGGAAGACAAATTGCATTATGTAAATATGCTGTCAGGGAACTTTCCAGAGTACTAAGAAACAACAATGTCAGTATAGAGACTAAGGTGCACCTGATCTAGGCCACGGTCTTTGTAATTACTTGTTATGCATCAGAGAGCTGGACAATGACTAAGGATGACAAAAGAATCGATGCCTTTGAGTTGTGGTGCTGGAGAAGAGCCTGGAACATACCATGAACCACCAAGAAACCAAACAGGTCTGTCTCGGAAAGGCTGAAACCAAGTTTTTTCTTGGAGGCTAAGATTTTGAAGCTCCATCTCCTATTCTTTGGGCACATGTCCAGGAGGGGCTGATCCTTGAAGAAGGACATCATGCTCAGAAGGGTGGAAGGACAGTGCAGGAGAGGAAGATGCCAGATGTGATGGATTTATTCAGTAAGTAGGGCAGTAGAAGTGAGAGAGTTGGAGGCAGTGAGATAAGGCAGGATTCAGGACTGTTGTATATAGGGTTGCAGGCGACTTGACAGCATTTAACAACAACAACAACATCATTACTGATGAATTAGATGCTGTAGAAGGGCTATTTGAGGTCACGATCCAAGTTGGCTTTCTTGGGACTGTCTTCTAGTTCCATAGAATCAAGGAATATCAAGGGCTAGTTTATGTTGCAGGGCTCCCTTTATTGAATCCTAGCATTTGTGATTTCAATCTTCTTAGCATTTTGGCTAGAGGCTCTGTGACAAGCTGGTTTGTGTAATTTTTTTTCAGGGAGAAATGTGACCTAGGCAGTTTGTTAGCTTTTCAATTAAAAAAGACTCTTAACTAAAAAAAGAAAGGACATCATGTTTTGTAAAGAAGAGCAGTAAAAACAAGAGAAATAGTCAGGAAAATGGATTGACACAATAGCCACAGGGGCTCAGAGACACCAAAAATCATGACCACGGCCCAGGACCAACGAGCCATGACTCAGAACCGACCTGACGGCACCTAACACATCAGCGTAGATAATGAGCTTGGCATCGCTAGTAGATACCCAATAAATATTAATCACTGGCGTTTCCTCCTCCTCTGTTAAGTGTGTAACCTACAGTTAGAAGTGGGTTAGAAGTTCTGGGGAAGATGCCATTTCTAGAGTCACTGAACACACACATTGCTTGCTGCAGGCCACATTTGCCCCTGCTGCCCCAAACTGCATCCCTGCACCCTGTGTGACATATGGCTGCAGGTGCCTTCATTAGGCAGGACCCCAAGGACTCTGTGGGGAGTTCAGGGCAGCAGGGTCACAGTTA